CGATGGCACGCTGGGGCTTTGCTCTCTGACGCTCGTGGCGACTGAGCCTGCTGGTGGCCGCAATGGCGCGATGGGGCATTGCGATCTGACGCAGGCGCCCGCGCCCAGCACCGAAGGGCCCCCGAGAAGCGGGCCAGGTCCATGCTCGAGCCCCCCGAGGAGCGGGCCAGTGCTCGAGCGATGCCCTGCGCGGCCCACGACCCCGACCAGGTCGACCTCTCCGTCCGCGTCGCCTAGGCCCCTGTCGAGCACACCGATGGGGCCCCCCTCTGGGTCGTCCAAGCCAGCAGCTCGCTCAGGTGGGCCTCCGCCCCGGCGCGCGGGGGCCGCCGCGTCCGCGTTGCCGCCGTCGCAGCGCCGCTCAGGTTGTCCGGCCCGCTCCTCGCGGCCAGATTGAACTGAAGCTCGCGATTGGGCTGTCCATGGGCACTTATCGGGTCGGCGTCGGCGCCCGCTTCAAGCTGATCAGGATTGTCGGCAGTGAGCTGAGCAGCGCGCCAACAGTCGTAGCTGGCATCATCGGCGCCCAGAAGGCCGCGGGCAGCAGGAAAGAGTTGCCGTAGAAGATGCACCACCGACGGCACTCATAATAATTGCGCGCCCGCTCGGCACCAGCGGGCGCCAGACGCTCGAGTCGCCGAAGGACATCAGGGCGCGCGGCATCGCGAAGAGGGAGATCGGGCGCGGCTAGCGCGAGCCGCCGCGCGCGCCGAGCATTTGGCGGAGCAGCAGGATGCGGGCCCGCAGGAAGGCCGCCTGCCTGTCGCCATCGGTGCTCGACACGTGCAGCTCGCCCAAAGAAGCGGGTGGCGTCCTGCCCAGGGCCGCGGGCGCGGGCCAGCTCCTGCTCGGCGGAGTCCATGAAGGTGGTGTAAAGCCCGTCAAGCTGGACCTGGGCTTCAGCGGGTGTAGCCTCGCCGCCGAGAGCGACATCTGCCTCGATGGTGTCAACGTGGTCGGTGTCAGCAACCAGGGTGGCATCATTGGGAGGTTCCTGCCTCGGAAAGGCGCGAGGCCCCGCCGGCACCGCGAACTTCGCTGCTTTGGCGCGCGCCGCCAGGGTTGTCGCCGCGGGGCGGTGCGGGGCGGCAGGCCATCCTGGCGCAGGCCGTGGGGCCGTGAGCGACCCAGCCAGGGGCGAGCTGATCAGCCAGAAATCGATGTTGGAGTAGCTACCCTGCGAGCTCCGACATGTCCCCGCGGCGGCGTCTCTAGCGCGAGGTCGCGCGACAGCCCGTGCAGGAACGTGGCCCAGGTAGCCGATGTCCGCCAAGTCCGACGGGTCGCAGTTGAAATCAGCGGCCCACGCGAACGGCTTATTCCAACCGCGAAGTGCCAGCAAGATGCCGAATGGCCTGCTGGCGTTCCCATTCGCCCACTGGTCTGCCTCCAAGTAGGACGACATCAAGATAATACCACTTTTGGCCCGGAAGTCCGCATGGCAGGCCATGCAGAAGTTCGGAATCAACTCGAAGGAGCCAGCTGCGCCAAGACCTGGTAGCGCAGTGACACTATGCCGCCTGGCAAGGAGTCCAACCCCAGCAGGCGGCCGCCCAGACTCAAGGCGGCGGCAAGCGGATTCAACGGCGTGCCATCCACATCGGGCTGCCCATCCCTGCGCGCGAAGAATTCCGCCCCCATCAATGCGGGGCTCTTGCGCGGCGACAACCAAAACCGAGGAGTCACGCGCAGTCAGAAATTCACGGCTGGATTCCCAGGACGAGCCGTTGTCGGCGACGAAAGTCGCATCCTGGCGAGCAGCGCGCCGAAGACCTCGTCGCCTAGTTGTCCATCCCTGCGTGCTCTCAGTGGCTGGCCGCGGGGTCTCCTGAGGTGCGAAAAGCGGCCCCCGCCATCTGCGGCCTGTCTCCAGCGGCAGCAGGGGCAGCGGCAGCTGTGGGACAGCGGGCGCGGCACCGGTGGCTGTGGGGGGCTGGCTGGGCGACCTGGTCAGCTCCTGGCGCACCGTGGGCTCCCTGCAAGGCCTGAACTGGGAAGGCCGCGCCCATGGCCAGGGACTGGCTGTTGATGGCCTCCAGCAGCTGGATGCCCTGACCGTTGGCCACGGTGGACTGCGCGCTGCCGAGGAGAGCCTGGTGGCCGACCAGCGCGGTGGCGAGGCCCGCGAGGTCGCCTGCGGGGGCGGTCGCAGTGGCCGCCACGGCGCGGCGCGCATCTGCCATCTCGGCCTCAGTGCTAGCCACCTCGGCGCCATGCTTGGCCAGCAGGCTGGTGAGGCGCTCGACCTCCGCAGTGGCCTGCGCCAAGGCCTCGGTGGTCTGGCCGTGGTTGGCCTTGGCGTCGTCGAGGCGCTTCTGCAGGCTGCAGAGGAGCGGTGGAAAACTTGGCCCATCTATGGCGGCCCCCCGCAGTGCTGGGCGCACTGTGGCGCCCCTCTCTGCCCTTCCAGGGCCGCCCCCCCTCTGTCGGGACTTCGGGCGCTTTGGCGCCCCGGTTCCGCCCCGCTGGCGCCGCTGGCGGGGGGGGGGGGCGGCCCCCTGCTCTCCCGAGGCCTTCCCGGGCGGGAAGGGGGGGGGGGGCGGGCGGCAATGGGGGGTGACCTGAATGGGTAGTGAAGACAATGGCCCTACAG